AAGCTTTTGGACTGTGTAGATTTGTTATGAGGATAAACAGACGGTTACCATTTACCTTTGGTAAGTGCTATAGCCTTTAATCACGCAAGGGAAAAGGATTTCGCGTTTCGGGTGTTTTCTTTTTAGACCCATCAAGAAGTCGGAGCACCCTATCAACTCCTGGATCGACGACCCGCTCAAGAGGAACACTTACGGGATTCATCCTATCGTTCCAGTCCCACTTGAACTTGAACTTGAACTTGAATTGATGGTATGTAAGCATGTAAGTGCGAGAACTTTAGTCTGCGAGAAAACTATCCGTATGTTGCTGTTTGCTGACGACTGTGCGTTGTTTTCACACAGCGCGGATGAGTTGCCGCACATGACTAGTGCTCTGGCTTCGACAGCGGCCAAATTCGGGCTCACCATCAACACAAGCAAAACTGTCTGTCTCTTTCAGCCTTCACCGGAGGTGCAATCTTCAATATTGCCGTGAAGAAGCACTTATGTTGAAGGTTTGGAAAACACCTCCCGCTTCAGCTACCCTGAAAGTGTGATGTCGACTGACCAGCAGCTACACGTTGAGTTGCTTAATCGCGTGTCGAAGGCAGCAGCAGCATTCGGGAAGCTTGAGTACCGAGTGTGGAACAACCATCAGCTTAGCATTGGCACAAAGCTGATGGTGTACAAATCCATGGTGCTGTCCGTTCTTCTATACGGCAGTGAAACGTGGACGATGTACCGTCGGGATGTGCGATATCTTGAGCGGTTCCATCAGCAGTGTCTGCGACGAATATTGCGCATCGGGTGGGGCGCCAGAGTGGCAGACACGGAAGTGTTGCGTCGAAGTGGAATGTATGCAGTGGACTGCATACTTTTACTGAGACACCTGAGATTTCTCGGTCATGTGTGGCGCATGGATTCGACTCGGATACCGAAACAACTCTTATACGGGCAGCTGAGTATTGGGAAGCGGCATGCGGGGAAAACAAAGTTACGTTACCAGGACATGATCAAAGAGAGCCTCGCACGTTCTAATCTTGATTGCAGGTCATGGGAAGCGAAAGCGGTTGATCGGCGCGTATGGCGTGGTCTCATCACGAAGGCAGTTGCTGAAGTGCAGGATGAAGTCCTCATGCATGCAGAGAAGAAGCGGCAAGTGCGGAAGTGGCAAGCACCGATGGATTGTATTCCATCGACTTCGTGTGTGTGGAGCTGTAGCACATGCGTTCGCGATTGCCTGTGTCAGGCAGGCCTAGTGAGCCATGAGGGAGGCCACTCGGGACTACTACCGAAGCGCCGACGGGTTCTGTAGAAAACATAGGCAGAACCGGCGCAGCGTTTGTAAGCAGGCTGCATTCGATTTACTAACCGCGTGCTTGGATGCTAAGTCTCTTTATTTCAGTTGGTGGTTTTCTTTAATTTTGCCCTAATGCTTTTCCTTCCCGTATAAATGCCTATTTATACTCTATTCTAGACACTTGCACACGTCGCTTAAGCCACTTGTAGTTATTTCGATAACCTTTTCGTGTTTGTAGCATTTCCTTAAATTAAACTTCCTGACCTCGTGAACTTACCCCGTATTCTTCTGTGAACGTATTCTTTTGTAAACAACTGATTTCGCATGCTCACTAATCTGAGGTTTATATCACCGTTTGCTTGCGTGCTCTGTTTATTTCAGGTGGTGGGTTTTCAATTTTGTCCCAAAGCTTAGCTTTCTCATATAAATTTCTATCCTACTTTCTTCTATAAACTTCCACACGTCACTTAAGCCAATTCTAGTCCTTTCCGAAAACATTATTGTGTTTGTGGCATTTCCGTAAAGTTTGCCTTCTGACCTTGTGAACTTATCTCGCATTCTTCTATAAACAACTTACTTCAGACGCTCATTTCTTTAAGATATGTCACCCTTTCCTAGTGAGCCATGAGCGAGGACACTCGGGACCACTACAGAAGCGACGACGGGTCCTGCAAAGAAGGTAGACAACACCGGCGCAGCGTTTGTAGGCACGCTGCATTCGATTTACTAACCGCGTGCTTGGATGCTAAGTCTCTTTATTTCAGGTGGTGGGTTTTCAATTTTGCCTAAAAGCTTCTCTTTCTCCTGTAAATGTCTACCTGTACTCTATTCCATTAACTTGCACACTCCGCTTAAGCCAATTGTAGTCGATTTCCATAGCATTTTTGTGTTCGAGGTATTCCGTGAAGTATACTTTCTGACCTCGCGAACTTATCTAGTATTCGTTTGTAAACAACTTATTACTATGCTTATTAACTTAAGGTTTATGTCACCGTTTCCTTATGCAGTAATGGAGTTATTTTCTTTGTCTCTCTCTCTCTCTCTTAAATGATTGGCTGTTGTTTGATATCCCCGGTGTGGCTTCGCTTGATGTGTAGGTTGGCAAGGTGTCTACCTGTCTATCACCCGCTACCTCGTCCATACTGGCTCCAGGAGACAGTTGGTCGTTGCTGGCAGGGACGGGGTGCACGGTCCTTGTGGCCGTGTTAGGCTCGAAGAGTGGTTCAAAGTACCCAGTATGGAGCGGACTCCGGTCAAGCCACCGCCTTATGTGCGGTTGATTTCCAAATACCGCGTGCTTGTGTTTGCCTGTGAAGGAGTGTGGGCCGGCTCTGTTGATGAAACGTGGCTTCCATCCGCATGCCTCCCGGTCTTATTCCTTCGGGTTTACACTGGATATGGGGTGTGTGGATGGAGCTGTGGGTGGTGCAGCGCAAGCCATCCATGGTCCCTCTGTAGGCACAGGCGTCCTGTGGCTGGCCACAGTGACAGGCAAATCCGAAACCGGATGCCGCCAACCAAGTGCGTAATCCGGTGATTTCTGAGGTGAAGAGGTGCTATACGGGAAAGTGATTTCTGGAAGCAGTGTCAATGGTGTAAAGAATATGGCGTCGTTAAGGGTGACGGACTTAATCAATGGTATTCCGTGAAGTAGGGAAAATGGCAATCAGTAAACCTTCCAGCAAAGCTAGCTAATACGAAGCCTCTGCGGGTATTAAGGTGAACAGAAGAGGCGGTTTATTTAACGTTAATGCTATATTTGTCTATAATTAAGGGGCTTGTATAGTGGAGTAACACAACGTCATGAATGGGATGTTAACGTTTGGCGCAACCTCTTGTCCACATAATGCTGACGGATGCGCATGTCTACATTGCACTGAGGTAGGCAATCCCTTGTTAAGGTGGTGTGTGATTATATGACAGGTGGGCAGACGGGACGCTCAAACCATATGAAAATATTCTCGTGTAAGTGGGGAGCGTTCCGAACGCTCATCACCCACCAAGCGAGAAACTGAAAAATGGTTCATCAAATATGGTTACAGTAGGAGGGGAGCGATCATCAAGATGAGCATTGCTAAGTGTGAGTGCACTACAGAAACAGAGATTACGAATAATGGACGGGTGCAACGACATGTTGGTGGTTGAAAATGTCTGTAAAAGGTGAACTTACCACGTTCTTAGTGGAGAAGCAAGTTGTTCGCATAGGTCGCAGGGTTGCGCACACGTCTTGATGTATGCATTCCACTATATGTTGTCTGAAGATTACGGAACTACCCGCGGAACCTGTGAGCTTGTAGTTCGCCGCAAGGAAATAGCCGAGTTCGCATACTTCCTATGGGCTGTGGGACGACAAGACAGATCCAGGGGATGGCCCTGAAAAGGGCCGTTGCTCTGTTCTCTAGGGAATAGGAACTGGAAGGCGAAGGAAGACCGGACAAGGTGCTGTGGTTGGAGAAGTCGAATGCACGTACGTCACATCGGATCTGAAAGAGGAATCAGGATGGACAAGGAATATTACCTGTGGCCGGGTATCATCGCGTTATCACACGGCGACCGTGGTACGTGGGAGGAGGCTCTGTGGCAGCTTGAGGTGGTAAGTCATTGGGCGGCGCAGGTCACTGTGGATGCGAAATAGAAGTGAGCATGGAATATGTATGTTA